GCCAGCCCAGACTGCTTGGCCACACGCATGTGCAATGGCAAAGCGGATGGCGGGGACCTCCTCTGAAAGGATTCTCTGGTATTCGGACGCAGACACACCGTCGCGGAAATAGTAGACGTACTCAGGAGCCTTGCCATCCCCAACAGTTGCTTTCCACTCAGCAACCATGGGGTGTAGTATGTACTCTACCACTTTATCCCGTATGATCTCAATTCGATCTCCATTTGTCTCACATCCACCCATGTAGCGAGTTGCAGTAGCATTTGCCGAAACCGACATGGCTGCCAACGACGGGGTCCACACGCCCATCATTGGATGAGTGACATCCGCCCCAATTATCATGGAGCCTGGACGTAAACCAGAACTCTTTGACTTGGGGACAGCACGAGCAGTGATGCCGCCAAGCTTCGCATTCACCTTCATGAGCACATTCGCGTGATATTGAGGCCTATTGGTAATGCAGTGTGCAGATTGGAGCACTTGAGAAGGGGTACCATATCGGCAGTCGGAAGACTTCTTGATGCGAAGATAGACCCAAGAATCCTTGTCGGGAACGATGAATACCATGAGCTGGGGCTCTCTCTTGTTCTGTGCCGCGATCGCATCGTAGAGCTTTTTGACACTGGTGCCAACGTCTTCGCTCAATCCCTTGACAACCGGTCGGCCAGTGACCTCACCACCCATGCTCTTGTACATCTTGACAAATTGTTCAACCCAGCTCAGTGTCTGGTCCTGGCTGATTGACTTCCGATGCCCGGAAAAGAATCCGACACCCCAAGCCTGAAGGGCCTTTTCATTGGGTTTGTAGAACTTCTTACCGCGAAGATCCCAGCTTCCAGAGTGCTGAGGGTTGTGCTTGCGGTTGCCCCCGAACTGAAGCTCAGGACTCGGAAGCAGGCGAGCCTTGGTCTTGATCATTTGATCGCTGATTTTCATGCCGTAAAGTTTCAGAATCGGATCATTCTTGTGCTGGAGAAGCTCTTTGGACTGGCGAGCATTGGCCAAACGCTTCGGGGGTCTGGTTGCACACCATTGAATCATTTGTGCCGCCTGCATATCGGTAAGCTTGTAGCGGTATCGCTGCAGGCCCTTAATGACCAGGAACTCGGCTGGGTAATGGACATCCTCCTTTTGCATCTCCACCAAGGGCATGTTGGGATATTCGAGGCGGAGGTTGTACCGTCTCATAAAGTAGGTTTCAAGGTGCATTCGAGTGGACTTCCCAGTGGCCTTGTCGTAATAGTCAATGAAAAACTCCTTGGGCTTTGCATGAATCAAGCCCTTGACAAGGAAACTCTTCATCTTGAAAGGGCAACCCTCGTAGTTGGGTGCCACTCGAAGACCATGAATCCTCTTGCTCACCTGGGCAAACCACTTCGATTCCTTCGTACCACCATATTCGTCGCGAGTTGACTGCAAGTTCCTGACCAGAGTCGACATATCGTTCCACCCGTGCACATTCATCATGTAGCCCATAAGACTAATACGAGAAAAGAAGACGCAGTGGGCGACATCAACATTGAGTATCAGACCTTGCTATAAGTAAACGTTAGTTTCACAATCTTTAATTTAAACTAGAGGATGGAGCCTTACCGGAGTCGGCTTAATTGCTTGATAGATGCCTCGGTAAACGGAAGCCCCCATGTTGGCAAGCGGCTGGTAAAATTCTTGTTTGAGCTCGTCGTCCTCTCCAAGCTTGTCGAAGAAGAAGGCCCTCTTGATTGCAGCAAATTGTTTAGTGGGCCATTCTCGGAGCAGATGGTCAAGGAAACCTGTCATTATTAGCTTGCCGAATCAAAAACAGAGGAATACGCGAAATAAGAGGTTACTTACTCAGAGATTCAATCACGAGCTCATCCAGATCACGGCGGTTTTGCAGCCAGGAGTTGATCACCGACAGGTTGATCTTTCGCTTTTGAATGACGGACATCCTGAAAGCAGGATTTCTCCTGAACTCATCAACCGTAGCAAGCGTTTTGATGTCACGGGTCATGTCACCCCTGAAGTCGATAATCTCATTCCAGTCATCAAAGTTGCGCAGCGACCTGCAACACAGATTAGAAAATCTATCGTAGCAATCAGAAATATATATTATACTTACCAGCAGATTCTTCCACCATCCCAGATACCATCAGGAATGTGTGCCTTCCGAGTCTCACTGTTCCAGCACTTTCTCAAGATCCGCCGGTCAGTCTCATTCTGGTCTCCGTGGACCACATTGATCTAGGAGTTCATGAGCAAATAATCTCGTTGAAGGGGGGTTAATGGACACTCACCTCGTACTGGTAAACTGCCTTGTCTGGGAAAGAAGTGATCGGGTACGCATTCATCATAACCTCGATCTCTTTGCCAGAAGTGTTGTAGCCAACACGACGCTGAATGTGAGTCTCCTCTAGGGTACCCTAGAAAGGAAAAAGCAAGGTTAGCATAATTCATTGTCCACAGATGTAGAGTTATTGAAATCTACCGGTCGGAAACTTACAGAAGAAGCCCTGATTTTGAATCGATGCCAGGGAATATCAATGTTCTTGCAGCCATCCCAGGCAACTGTCATGTAATCTTTGTGGCGAATAACCTTCTCCTGGTCGAGTCTGTGTTGCTCGAAAACAGCCACTTTTACTCCTTCTCTGGCAAGACGCTCATAGTTGGCCTTTTCTTCCGCGGTCCAGTTGGCCGGGAATTCTGGAGGGGTCTCAACTCGACGGATGGGAGAGTCACTGCTACTGGAACCAGTGCTCTTAAGTCTGCGGTGCTCACCTGACTCAGGGTCATATCGGGTTCGGCGCATCCAAGCAGTACTTTCTGCTTCTTTTTTGCGGATTGCGTCATCTTCGAGTTTGGCCTTGTGATCACGCATCTCTTGGATCTGACGCGGATCCAAGGGCTTTGCCACAGGAGCAGAGGGACGCAGAGGAAGCTCAAGGCTGAGCTTAGGTTTCGAGGTGGTAGAGCGGTGCCCACCATCCTCGGGGGAAGGCTTTATTGGCCTCTGGGGACCCATGGTGAATCACGTTCCTATCAGATATCTTGTTGTTAATGAATGCTTTTGTTTTTGACAGATGTGAAGGTATCATGTAAGAGGATGAAACGAAGCAAGGGTTTTATAACGATTGAGCAGCCATACTGCTCGGCGATGTAAAGTGAAGCAGAAACCGTTCGGTTTAGCTTCGCTTGGACTCGGTATGGAAGAGGGGTAGGGTAGTAATATGAGAGTGACCACTTACACAGAGGGAAGAGCTTCAGTGATGGTTTTCTGTGACTGTATTTGTTTGAATCACAGAAGAATTGAGATGAAGGGTTATGGGTAAAGAAAAAGAAGAAGAAGAAGAAAGGGAGGGATAAAGGATGAATGCTTTTATAGATGAAGCTGCGGCGGGTCTGCTGCGGGTCCGTGGGACTCGGCGTAGGTAGGGGTGCTCCTTCTCGAGGTGAATTGAACGTTACCTGATTGAGCAGGTATGAATTTAGGGAAGTAAGCATTACCTAGATAGGTAAATGGACTTTGTGGCCAAAGTCCGGTCTATATGAGCTGAATTGTGCTCGTTTGTACTATAGCATCTCCTTAAAAGACTGAAGTAACCGGAAGTTACATATCTCGCACTTTCACTTGAGACCCATGATTTACATCTGTGTCACTCGAACTGATTGTGTATTCGCAGGGTGGCCCATTTATCACCAATGTCCACCACCGATATGAAGTGCTACAAGGGGGGCTTCTACAGTACGGCCTAGAAATGCATACTGCGTGACGTGGAAGCCGCAAGCAGCTGGTAAAAGTTAGACAAATAGCTAAGATGGCATTTTATACCTATTGAAGATATGGCTTTGGTGTAGCCTGGTGGCAAAATTGGACGCTTCTCAAAATCCTAATAGCTATCCAAAGCCCAAAATGAAAAGCGAGTCCATTCCTGCCATATAGTATATAGTTTCCAATATTCCTCAGTTGATATTGTCCGCTGCTTCAAACATGCGTAGGAGGGGCTGGTTGCTTATTCTCTGCATGCGAATTATCAATCTTCCTAGGCAACGATTTGTTCCAGTTGTGATCGGGGGAAACCGCGGGGTTGCGGTGATATTGATGTGTGAACCACATTGGTAATATGTTTAACATGTTGGGACGGGATGGGTATTCCACCACGAAACTGACCAGATTCGGCAGCTGTCCGTACCCGATATAGGGGTAAACCGCCAACATGCAGTCGGAATAAAAAGGCGGAGTAAACGGACGAAAAATGCCAATTGTGTTCCTTTAACTGTCGACTCCTGACAGCAAACAGAGAATGATACATACAGGGTTACATGGAAGGCAAATAGATTGCACTGGGGGCTGGTGTATTTTCAATGGGAGTATCCGTAAAATTCCCAGACAACGATGCAGAGGAAAAGAGAAAGACGAACAAGATGAACACACTCGACCAATTAACGGGTAGTCTATATACAAGAATATCTTTACCTCCACCGGTTGACTAAGAGCGGTCATTTCCTTTTATGGGTGCATTTTTCTAAAGCGGCCGTGAAGCTGGCAGAGCTGGTTGTCCTTTATACTGTATCATCACCTGCCTATAAGGCAGTCCACAATATCATACAATTCAGGCTCGATAAAGGCTGAGATATATTGGGTATAGACATGACCTCTGCTCTGAGGAAGGAACCGAGCTCTAGGACACGAAGTGCGATCAAAGTGAGGCCAAAGTGAGAAATAGTATAGTCAAACACCCTTCACTGTATAATCTACTGCCGGTAAAAACCTCCATACATTAATACTATGGATCTAGTCTGCAGGATCCCATCCCTGGCTCTCAATTATGGCTTCCAGCCGTTGCGGCATGGTCTCAGAGAGATGCTCTAGTTGCCGAGCTCTAATTCATCCTGTGCCTACTACGCCGTGGCCACTATGATCGACCTAACTGGATCACATCTTTGCAATAGAGGAAAATGAGCCCACCAGCGAAGATCTTTTTGTTGACAATTGGGATGAATTTGAGATAGACACCGATAAAATGACCACACTGCTTTACGTCCACGAGCTGCAGAACCCCCGTAGGTGTATCGACTTGCATCAAGAACAGCACCCTGAGAAGAAGCCATCGAAAAGGTCGACAGCTGCTTGAGCCGGGGTCCCATGAAACACAGTATGTGCAAATTGAGGTGACAAAGGTATTTTTTAGGGCTTCATATTCTGTGGAGTACCCGATGACGTAGTTAGCATGACGTAGTGGCCCACTTTGTACCCCAGCTTACCAATCACCGTCGGCCCCCTCAGACGTTTATTTTAAGCTTATACGAACTACAGTAAACCCCCGTTATAACGAATCAATTGCAGATGAATCGGTTCAGTCACGGCCAACCGAGAAAGTTCGCGAGATGTTTGGTGACTTCGACGAAGATCTGTCCATAGACTGCGACAGCATCGACGAAATCGCAAGAACGGCGCACGCCATCCGTCGAATTCGTGATGGTCTTAACACCCCCGAAGCGCGCCGAATTTTACAATTACGGAACGACCTAGAAGCCGCACACGACGGATACGTGATCATGGTCGACGATGTTGCGCGCCGTCTCCAGTTGCGCCCAGAATGGCACAAACGGGCCTTGCGACCGGTGTTTGAAGCGACCAAACTTGCTATCGATGACGGCGACGAGGACTTCTAGCTTTCCTTTCGGCTTCGGGGATGGCGTTGATTCATTTTCATTTTCATTTATCGTTATCGTTTTCTTTTTCACATGCGTTCATTTTTCGCTACTTGCTTTTAATGGCCTTCATGCCATGGTCGACGAGGGCGTCGACATATTTTTTTCAGCGGGCATTGTTATGGGACATTCCCAGACAGGGTCACATGACCCGTCTGACCGCCTTAGTTAGCTTAATGGCTACTGCATAGATAGATAGGAATGTCATCCTTTTACCACTTCCCACAACAACGATCGTCATAATCACTGCCGTCAGAGGAACCCGGGTCGCCGTCGTTCGGCATGCGAGTGCGCTGCCCATTCGCGTCCCTCGGCGAAATGTTACGTGATCGTTCGGCCGTGGCTCTGGACCGCCGTGAACTAGTGGTCGATTGCCGGCTTAGCTGATCAATCGTCCTCTGCATGGACTGCAATTGATCCCTTAGCATCGCCAATTCGTCCGAGGGATGTTGCTGCGGATATTGCATATATTGTGATGGGTACATCGGATACGGTGGTCCTGGGAATGCTTGCGCCGGCGGCGGTGGCTGAAAACGCATGCTCGGCGACCCCTGCAAATGCGGGTACGCCGCAAATTCCGCGTTGCTTTTTCGGTCCCGAGACCGCTGTCGACGAGGACGTCGACATATTTTTTCAGCGGGCATTTGTCACGGGACGGGGTCACAGGACCCCTCACACCGCCCTACTTAGGTTAATAGCTAGTGCATACTTAGAGAGGAATAGCATCCTTTTGCCACCTCCCATCACAAATGGTAGCATGTCTAAATACGTCTATTCAGGGAAAAGAAGGGTCAAATCAATTTTCATCGAGTTTCCATCATTAAGTTCTTCCCCAAGAGTTATTTTTTCTTTTTCAAGGACGGGTCGACGACGACGTCGCCAGGCGCCGTCGTCGACACATTGTGACGTCGATCACGTGACGCGATAAATGCCGCAGACGCAGTTCGACATCGACGTCCGTGGCACACAGGTCGCTAATCACTGCAAGGATCATCCAAATTTCCGTATATCAGCGGAAGCGAGGACACTGCTGGGGCAGTTTCCTACGGTTGACGCCGATCGATCGAGTAAGCGGATCACGAGGTCGGCAAAGCTTGACGAGGAACGTTACCCCTCCGATTGGGTTGTTGATCCTCCGGCGGTGCGTCGGGTATTGAAACAGTTGTGTGACGAAGCTCGACGTCGTCGCGAGATCGATACACCGGCTACGCCGGCGAATCCTTCCTTGGCAGAGTCAGTGAGGCTACCAATTAGATTTGCCGACAGGCAGATTTCAACCAAATACGGATCTCGCCTACGCTCCTTTTCGCATCCGCAAACACGGGACGGCGACATGCCAGTCACATCGGCAGCGCCGACCGGTCCGGTAGGTACGGTGCTGTAACCGGCGGCGCCGTAGCTGATAGCGTTGCTTCTGGAACCGACCGCTGCAACAGCTCAGGTAGGGTGACTCTTGGCATACCTGCTTCCGTTGCCTGCGTTGCCGCCTGACGCGGGGCTGCAGTGGCCGGAATGCTAGCGTTGCTCGACGCTGCAGATGTAGGCGGCATCTCGTCGTCCTTCGCCTGAGGGTGCGAGAAGGAACGCAGACGAGATCCGTACTTGGTTGAAACTTGCCTATGCGCAAACCTGATGGGCAACCTCACCATTCGTTGCCGTTCGTGGGGACCTGGTGTTGGGCGCTTGGCACGGCTACACGATGAAATATTCGTTATATCCAGGTATTCGTAAAATCCAGGTGCCATATAAAATATGTATATTTCTAGTTTACATACAAATTTATGCTCCAAAAAAAGCCCTAATATCTCTCTGCTTCCTCCCTTCCAATTTCCTCGCTTCCAGTAACCTTTCATGCCTATAAAGCGCGCTAATTAACTTGGTTTCTCCCTGCTCCTGCTGCTCTTCATATATACAAAGGGTTTTTAAAGCCTGAATAGCTTCATGATAGAGAACCTAGGCCTGTTCTTCTATAATCTTATCTTCGTCAACCTCTGGAAGAAATTCACTAAGTACAATATCATCAATAGTATCGAGATCATCTTCTATAACTTTATCTATAGGGTTAAGAAAGTTCTTAATATCTAGAGGAAAGGATTTCGGAGATCGTAGAGGACGAGGGACGATGGTTAGGCTTTATAAAACTACTAAGCGAGCTCTTTACTAGAGAGTAAAGGGTTGATTCAGCGCTGTTCTCGTAGTGCCACTTTCTAGGAGGTTGGGATCGATCGGCGAGGCATTTTGATTGGTTAAGAATGCTTGAAAAAGTAGGGATAAAACCTCAATATAACGAATTTTGTATGGGAGGAATGGTGAATTAACGAAGTTCGTAGTAAGGGGGAATTTCGTTATTACTATGGCGGATGCCGGTATTACTTCGTTAAAAAAAGGTATTCGTTAAAACCGGGTTCGTTATAACCAGGGTTTACTGTACATGGAATGGTTTTGCTCTAGATCACTTATTCTTTCCCTGGTGCGAAGGGGCATAACGGCCTCCCAGTGGACTTTTTGGCCTAGTTGGTGCCTGAAAATGTCTTATTGGTGCCTTATTTTGAACAGGCAGAAATTAAAATACCTGAATTGCCATGACAGGTGGCTTATTAAGCAAAGTATCCAAAGTGCCCGAGTCCAATAAAATGAAGCTATTCCTACCATACAAAATGTCATGCACCACCCGGACCTGGCGATGAATGTATTTTGTTCTCTCCTCCACTCTTCACCTTCACCACTACCTGCGCCACCGCTTCACGCTTACCTTAAGGTAAACCTCCGTTCTCTATCCTCCGTCCTCCGTCCTCCGTCCAGTCATGACACTATTGCCGAGTCTGCCGTTGCAGTTGTAGCCGGTTCCCGCTTATTCTACGAAGCTGAGCCGCAACTATTTTCACCCGTATTTCCTTAGGCGAACACGGTAAAACTCTCGATACCGCGTGCTAGGTACTATTTGCTGGATACTGTTGTACTGAATAGCTTCGGGGAGATGAAATGATGGTGGGAATAGCTTCATTTACAATACATTGTATAGAGCGGTAAAAAAGGCGGTCTAGAATCAGGTATAATTCAGGCATCAACTAGGCCAAAAAGTCCACTGGGACACGGGCCGTTATGCCCCTTCGCACCCTGGTGTCTGTAGAGCGACTCTAACTGTCGGGGGAATCAATCAACTCCTCCTCTTTACTAGGACTGCCAGTCCGAGAAAATAGTTACATTTATCAGCCATCAAGCTCTCCAAATGAACCTGGAGCCCAGTCTTTGTCTTTATTGTGTTTTCTATATCAACCTAACTGAGGGGAGTTGGGAGAAAAATCGGTCGTCCAGACATATGGACGTAAGATCTATGGGCAAAGGTAATCGGTTTTGTGCACTTCAGGGTATTTAGGAATCTAAAAAAGCGATTGTGCAGGATGTGCGCGTAATTTATTTGTGAGATTATCTGTTTATTCAAGTCTGTACAAAGCATGGTTGGGTGGCCCAACTAGCAAATAGAAATCGGTGAAAAAAAAAAGAAAAGAAAAGAACGAAAAAAATGCTGATAGATCAACGCCGATGAAAGATGCAAAGGGGGCTCTGAACAACCGCGTATGCCCCGACCATGTTTCATGAAATGCCCCCCAGGAAAAAAAAGAGCTGGGTCATCAAGTCCTTAAAGAACAAATCGGGATATTTTGCGCGCCGGGGAAATGAAATTGCAAAAGCAGAGAGCAAGGGATTTTACACTGCAAGTGAACGGTGGTCCTCGGAGAAGAAGGAGCAGCCACGGGCTCAACGGTAAGCACCTAGAGATGATGTATGAGTAAAAATGTTACTATGGGAGAGATGGATGATGGTCTTACCGGAGTAGGGGTTCTGACCTCCACCTGGTCCGTGTGCAGTTTGCGGGATCTGTATTTGGGAAATGTCGGAAGGAATTTCAACGTGGCGAAGAAGGTCTATCATTTTCTCTGGAGAAAGGCGAGTGATGTTGTAGGCAGCCGCAGAAGGCAGGATGCTCAAGAGATTCACCACTTCACGAGGCAGGGGAGCTGGAGATCCTTGCGGTCTGTATGAGGCGCTTTGGCCATTCAACTGTTGTACCCGTTTCGGCTGGTCGAGACGCCGAGCTTGCGCGCCCTTCATTGGTGACTCAGCGCGAACGAACTTTCGTGGGCGACCCAAGTCTTCATCATATTCATCAGTAGGATAAGATCTCTTAGGTGAGTTGAGAGTGGTATCCATGTATCTGGCCATGGGAGAACCGTGGGATTCCGCAGAGGTTCCTGGAATGTGGGTCTTCTGCTTTGTCTGGGACGGGGACAAGATCAGTTGCACGGAAGTAGGGTCGAAGTTGGAGTTGGAGTAACGATTGGCGAATTGTTCCAGAGCAGGATCCTCCGGGTAGAGTTCACGCATGCGGGTTTCCAAGTTGATCACCTGGGTGAGGTCACCGTAGCGTGATTCATACTCGTGGAGGAAGGAAAAGATGGGCTTAGCCTTGTGCACATTCTCCGGATTGGATGTCAATTTTCTGACGGTTGTTTCGAATACGGCTCGGGCATCTTTGGCAGTGGTTAGTATGTCCCTTAGAAAGTTGGGATATCGACTTACTGATGGTATCATTAATGTCGAGCAGATGTCTCAAGTATTCGAGCGCAAAGTGCTCATCCTCCGGGAATAATTTTGCGCCCCTCTCGAAGATCTTGGTGGCCGCAGGGTCTTTGTAGCAATGATACTCCATCAGAGCACTTGCGATGTAGACATCACTGGTAATCCGACCTCGCTTGCGCGCTTCGGCGAAAATCTGGCGAGAGCCAGCCATTTCTCCTGGCTTTCCTTTACCCTGGATCCGACGCATCGAGCGCATGAGAGAGATCCATGCGAAGGAGACAGTCTTGGAGATAACGTTGATCTGAACAGAATGGGTCTTTCGGACCGCATCAATCTGTGCTGTCTTGGCGGCTTCTCTTTCTTTGGCTTCAGGATCATCTTCATCGTCGTTTTGAGGTTGAGTTTCCACATTTTGTGAAGCAAAGTAAGCTTCGATGCGTTCGACATCTTGGGTTTCCTGCGTGCGAGCCTTGTTGATCAACTCGTAAAGCGCATCAAGCAACTTGTCGTATGGTTCCCGGACCTTGGCAGCGCGCTTGGCGGAATCCTGTTCCGAATCTGAGGTAACCTCCAGTCGATCCGCGCGTTTGAATGTTAGCAGGCAACTCTCTGGGTTTGCATCAATGCCCTTCTTCAAGAAATCTGTGCCGGCATCTTCCATATCGTTTAGGAAGCAGAACTCAGCTGCATCAAACCACATTTCAGGCAAGAAGGCCAGTGCCATGAGTGCCTGTTTGTAGAAGTACACAACACGTGACTTGTAAGCTGCAGGATCTTCCTCTTTCAGTACTAGAGGATCTTCTTTTTCCCATGCGATCCAGCGCTTCCAGATATCTGCTTGTGCTGAATATTCAACATCGCCTTCGGAGCCAGGAACAGGAGGCAGTGGTGGAAGCGAAGTGCGAATCAAATCGCGGGTGATGTTTTGCAATTCGGTGTATGAGCTGCGCGCAGTCATGTAGGACGGTGAATGTTCTTGAAGGAATTTGCGGCCCTGGGGGGAACGTTAATACAAGCCAGTTGGATTGAAGTACTGTCCAGCTTACCGTGAGCTTGTTTAAATTCATCTCGAATTGATCATACTCCTTCCAGAGAGTATTAACAGCTTGGGTCGGCACGCCGATAGCTCGTTGGTAGGCCTTTCGCAGTAGGTCCATCTTTTGCTGATCCTGCCACCCAGAGCCACCAACGATTCCTGGCCCAGAACGGATGAACTCAATGTAGTCTGTCCAGATGTTTCCAGAATCCTTGTCCATTCCAACATGTTGGATGGCCATATCATATGCCGATGAAATCGTCTTCCGTGCCTCGCCAGATGCATCTGTTGTCAACGGATTACGACGACGGATGTAATCAAGGTAGACAGACCACAGCTGGACGCTAGGTGTCGCTAGGAGCGTTCTATTGAAGATCTGCTCCAAGCGGAAGAATTCATTGAGCTCAGACTCCATGCTGGCGTAGGCCACCCATTGATCGGCCTGAGATGTATTCCATTAGCAATCTTGTACCTTGCCGAGAGAAAAAAAGTAAAGGACAAGTGAAGTGAAAACCTACCGCCGTGGGGAATAGCTTCAAGAACCGCTCATAGGTGTCTCGTGCGCTGTCTAGTCTGCTGCGACCTCTGTGCTCGGCAATTAACTCCAACCAAGCAGGGATATCACCTCGGGGATCCTCTCGAATCCGGTCTTCCAGCATGCCGACGCGGTCATGGGCCAGACGACCCTTTGAAGCAGGAGAGTCAGGTACAGAAGTAGGAACAGTACTGTTCTGCATGGTTGCGGATTGCAAGTCTTGCGCAGCCCA